GGTGCCTCGAGATGAAATTTTCACGAGGAAACCAACGGATCCACTTTAAGAACCTCAAAGTTTCGAATAAGCGGAGTTATACGCGTTAGAAGTTTCCAAATGAACCACTAGACAAGGTACGAATTTCTGCATTCTGATACATATTTCTTCACCAAAATTTCACGTAAAACACGATGCGCACAACAAATATTACCGAAATCAACTCCTTCCAAAGATATTGATGATTCTTGGTGCGTGAATTCAAACCACCCGCTCATGAAAACTCAATGCTCTACGTGATTCTCATCGCGCGCTAAACGTTATCATGAACGTCTCTGCGATAAAAAAATCTGGCGACCTCAATCTTGATACTTCGACCCCGCTATAGCAAATTACTTATAGTTTGAACAACACACGGTGGGAAATGAACATTGCTCGATTGAGAAGATTGCTGAAACCGTTGTAGTACGCGATTTGACTCACGTAGAGCTTTGAGTTTGTAGTAAGCGGGCAGTTCAAATTCCTCGTAACTAATGTGAAATAAAAATGTTAATAGCTTCGTTAGGAGTTGGTTTCAATAAGTTTCGTTGCGCGAATCGTGTTCTACGTGAAATATTAAGATACATGTATCAGAATGCTTAAATTCGTACCTTGTCTAGTGGTCCATTGTGTCCGACCTGTTCCTATCGACTCGATCCACTGTGCGGCACTGCGCCGCGCGCTTTGCTTGGGATCATTTGATCTCGTTGCCGACGTTCGTGTACTTTATAATGTGCGTGGCTACATGTCAATGTTGCACATCGTTTTCTGCGTTGTACAAGGAATGAATCAACGTACAGGAGAAATAACACCAAGCGTATTTTATTATCAGATGCGGCATCCTGCATCCAGTAATTCGCATCCACCAAGGGAAGACGCGGGAGAAACGTTCGAAATGTCACGCGGCTAGTCGTGTCATACGTGCAAAGCCCAAAGCGGGGAATGATGGCAATTCCGAAAATCTGCATTTGGCCGTCGTATTCTCTCCTTGTTCATCTCATTCAGTGCATGTATGTAATCAACTGCTAGCGATATTTGTCGAGAAATCATTTGTTCAGTAACTTGCACAAACCTACTCCTCACTCATCGAACTGGTTATTGTATTCAGGTAAAATAATTTGCTTTTATCAGACGAGTGTAGCAAATTAAACTGTCAGGTAAACTTGGAAGGGAGCCTTGAGAGGTTCAGGTTTGTGATTAGTTTTCGCGCCTTAATTAATTTCGTCAACGCATTTTGCGTGTTGATATCATTTTAATATTAATAAAGGAGAAAAATATTGCGTTGAGTAACAATTTAATGTGATCTTCTACTCGGATGTTAACTTTATCTCCGAAATAACGGCGCTTAAATAAGCTATGAAAAGCTTCACAGCACATATTAGTGTCTGTGTGAGCATGGGGAACATTTTCATTGCGCAACGCTCATTTCTCACACCTATTGCCGTAAGCACTCTGAAAATATTCTACAAAGGCTGCCTTAGCCTTTTGGGGATCATCTCCCAGAACATCCAGATCAATTTTTTAGCTCTTCATAAACAAGAGGAGCATGAATTTAAAATTATTTTGATCAGACTCATTCAGCATAAGAACAAGTTAATTATATAGATCCAGGTGAAAAGGTCTTCGTATTTCACTTTGGCATTTAGCTGTCGTTGCCATGATCGGTGTATGAGGCATATGCGCAAAAGATGAATGATTGTAAAACCGAATACTTGACCTGAAACCTGACCAAAAAGCTAGATCATCATCAGTCATCCGCGCATTGATGTTTCTGGCTGGTTGACGATTCTTGAGGGCTGTAGAAAGCGATTTAAAATTTTAGCCTCTGAAGGTGATGAAGGTGGGCGACAGGATAACCTGTTCCATACTCATCGGGAACAAGGACGTTTAAAATTGCTGGAATTGCTCATTGCCTTGCACCGATGATCGAGGCACCGGTGGAACGACAACAACGATAACCTTTCCAAAAGATCTCATGCACAATCTCAACAAACGCCTGTATTCTCTCTGAAACCCAGGTAGAGCTACGCCTCGCAAAAAATCATTGGTACATCTTAACCGAAAAAGAGTGTCTTTACTGTGGGAAACATTTAAGGCAGGCTCTCCTAGTATGAAGTAAACATTTGCTCAAGACATGGTTTAGGTGAGATTCTGGTAACAGAGGCTCCTTTCACTGCAAGGGGAGTGCAGTTCTCAAAAGGGAAGTTATCGACCATTTGGCGTATCTGACCGGCTCTAAGGATGACAATTATGCTTGAATCAAACCAAGGCAACACACAAAAAGTACTAGAGTATAAAAAGGTATACAAAGTATACAAGAGTATACAAAGTACTAAAAAGGTAACTAGCGGCAGGATATGCTCCCTGCCGCAGCCGGCGAGGAGAAGAGATAGTGTAACTGATAAAATGGTTGATAAGCCATAAGTCTGCTGGGATAAGGGACAATACCTAATACCTACCGAACAATATCCGATACGTATCACAGAATTATCACCAATACCACATAAACACATACATAAAGACATGTACCGATACCAGCAAATTGTCATAATTGAAGAAATAAGCACCTGCTTTCAGGTTCTGTGAGGCTCCCACTTGGTGGGGGGCGACGTTTTGGACGAGTGCTACTGAAAAGAGGGCGTTTCGGGCGAGGATGAAAACGGGCGATTTTGGGCGATTAATTAATTAATGTAAAACAAAAAGCAACACTGTAATGTGAACTCACCAGTCGCCGGTTGAAGCGGAGATTTTGAAGACATTTTGGCGAGTACGATGAATTTTTGGGTTTGGTTGACAGGAAGTTCTCAAACACGGCTTCTGATTCAAGAAACCGAATTTGGGACCTTCCCTCCCCCCCCCCCAAACCCTGATTAATAACATGAATTGCTTCCAAAATGTAGCCGAGGAATTTGTCATTCATTTCAAATCTAAGTACTGTATCAATAAATATTGGAAAAACTCCTATCTGACCCATGAGATAGGAAAGGAAAAACACAGGATAGGGAGCTTCACCTATCACGGCCAATTGATAGGACTTACGCAGGATACAGGGCCATGGAACTATCTAAACAACTCCCTCCCGTAAACAACACTTAATAAGAACATTCAAAACAATTGAAATTGTCAGTTAAGTTAATTTCACTTTTTTAAGAACATTCAAAACAATTGAAATTGTCAGTTAAGTTAATTTCACTTTTTCCCACCTTTTTTCTCTTTCTTCCCTTGATAAAGATACCCCATTGCACTTGGTTGCCAGCATTCGCAACGCTTTTCCATACAGCGACTTTCTTCTCGTTAGTCACCGTCGCGCTAAAAGCCTCATTTAAAAAAATCGGCTAATCAATTGCATGCTCCACCAGGACATAATTTTCTCTCTCAGTGAAGTTGGGTTTGCGAGGTACCTTATTATAGGTTGCGACTTTCTAATCCATGACACTTCACCTAATTTTTTTTTTTTTTGTACAATTTAATAAACACGCTCATATCACATAACAATATTAAAAATGTTTATAACGTTTAAGCTCACATTTGAGCGAAGCTGATTTTTGTTTCGCAGTATTTACATAGACATTTCCCCCTGCCAACTTTTCCCCTCCTCCCTCCGTTAATTGCTCGATCCGATTTTATTGATTCAATAAGAAACTTACTTTGAATACAATTCAATGTAATTTCGGATCTTCGAGCACAAACTTATAGCACGAATCAGATCAACTCAAATAACACGTGCGAAGAGGTGTATGCGCGCGATACATTTTCCAATGATGAAGACAAATGGGCAGTTTGCCAGCACTCAATTAACAATACATTGGTGAACAATTTTAATACGATGAACAGATAGGCATCAATAATTTCACTTCCTAGATAGATTTTGACAAAAGTGTTTTTTGTAATCAGTCTCAATTTTTTAACTACATCGCCAAAAAGGTTCAGAGACACTTACTTTAATTTTAACCTTGGGGATTTTGATATTATCACTAAATTGATAAATGTTTAGTGTCAATTCCTCTCGACTTGACTTGACGAAGTTTGGAATATCTTCCACAACGGGATCCAAACCAAGAAGGTTACGCTTCATGGTATGTTGCTCCTCTTTAGATGGATTTGAGTATTTGGATGCAAATTTGGTTTTTGCAATTTTGACTGATTTATAAAGACCTACTGCCTGTTTCTCTCTTTTTTTTTGATTGCGAGTAATTGGTTCCAAGTTCATAGTGAACAATGATGGAAGCTGCACTGTATTAGCAATTCCACAGTGTTTTACGGTTACAAGCTCCTTGAGCACTCCTTCAACATGAGAAACTGGTGTTTTTTTAGTACCTTCTTGGTGGATACTCCTCCTTATTCGATCAAGAAACTTCTCAATCTTTTCTACAGCCTTCTTATTGGTATCAATATGGGATTTCGGAAATTCTGTAGGGGGTGAACCGAACAGCCTCAGTTGATTTGACTCTGCATCACAGGTATATCAATTAGATTTTCTGAATCATGAGACTTTTTGCGAACTTGAATAGAGGGCACTCTGTGAAGATGCTTGCAAGGCTGATAGGAGCAAAAATAGAGATTCGCACGAAGTCCAAGTCATTCCCTCCGAACACATTCAATGAAACTATCATTGGGAGGACAGGTTGGGTGGTCAAATGGAAGAACATGAGCCATATTTTCTCTAGATTCTGACGGAATAATCCATTTTTTGTCCGAGTTATCACTAACTAACTCATCAGGTAGGTTCATACCTCTTTTGAGATCGTCATTTTTGAGTTTTCTGTTATCATACTCCAGAGGATTAATCTTCAACGCACTTGTCTTGTACAGACCCAATGATTTGTCTCTGTTCACTTCGAGTAGTAAGTTAATGAAATCTTTTACTTGGATTTTAACTTCCAAATAACGGCGCTTCAATAAGCTATGAAAAGCTTCACAGCACATACCGGTGTCTGTGTGAGCATGGGGAACATTTCTATAGCGGGATAAGAGACAATACCTTATACCTCCTCCAGCCCCGGAAGTTGAAGATCTTTCGCTGGTGTCAAGCAGACCGTGCATATTCCGCACGGAGCGGGTTCGATGGAAAGGTCCACGAATTTCAGGAGCATGGCTGGTATGCACATTAATCGTTGGGTCGTTGCTGCCCAGGCCAACAATTCAGCGTTGCCAGCTAGGATCGTCTTTACCGGAATCTTTTCAACCCGCTTTTGATGGAATTCGATGGTGGAACACAGCTTATTGTAGGTGAACGACGCATCGGTGACCGTAATGCACTCCGATGGCTGTCCTCTCCTACCTACACGACCTGTTTCCTGGATCAGGTTGTAGATAGAAGAGGCCTGCCCGAAATTTACAGTACCGACGCATCGTTCACTATCCACGCCAAGAGATATTGCCGACGTCGCAATAATAAAACGAGGATTACCACCTAACCAGCTGTCCATAGCAACAGTTTTGCCGTTGGGAGTCATGTCGCTATGGTAGCGAACGACAGGAAAACCGATACCGTTCAGCCCGGCAGCTAACGTGTTTACCTGTTTCTTATTTTCAATGAAGACGATAACCGAATCATGAGGGAAACGGTCGTTTAAAAAAGTCGCGATGTCGTTGAAGCTGGAAATGAATTTTTGAAGAGATTTTTTTCCACCTGGTAACGTTTGTACGGGAAGAACCGTATACTTAACGTTACGACGGATGAATAATTGGGTGAAGACGGTCTCGATTTCCTCACTGTAGCATCTTTCAATAAATTTTATATCGGGGAGAGATATTGAAGCCGAAGAGAGGATGAGTTGACTTTCCGGGATGAAACGAATCGTCTCTGCCACTCGGAGCAATACCTCCCGGAATTCGAGGCCCCAGCTTGGAACCGTATGTGCCTCGTCCAAAATGAAAGCAACAGGGAAGCCGGCAGCCTGTGCGAAAACACGGAGATCTGGAGACCGATTTAGCTTCTCCGGCGTTACGAGGATAAAGACGGTTCTGTTATTTTGGAGGTGGTGGTGTACGTTAGTAAGCAGGTGCACATCAAGTCTGTTACTCCTAGCGTCAATGATGTTTATGCGATTTACTAGTTTGCGCATGAAATCGTGGAGGAGAGCGATTAACGGAACAATAATTTTACGAGGATAAAGACGGTTCTGTTATTTTGGAGGTGGTGGTGTACGTTAGTAAGCAGGTGCACATCAAGTCTGTTACTCCTAGCGTCAATGATGTTTATGCGATTTACTAGTTTGCGAATGAAATCGTGGAGGAGAGCGATTAACGGAACGATAATTATAAAGCATTGGGCGCATCCATGAAGGGAACACGGAATACAATAGTTTTTCCGGCACCCGTTGGAATTCGGATACATATGTTCTTCCCTTCCTCTATTGCAGCAATGCAATCGATTTGAATTTGAGTGAGAGCTGCAATCGCTGGATTCAATCTTCTTGCTCGTTCCAACCTGCACAAAATATAAGTCATCTTTATGTTACCCGCCACCCCGCAACCCGTGCTATACATTAAAATTCCCCTTCGTAGAAAACAGATTCCTCGAAGTGAAGTTAGTTTTACGAAATAAGTTCCTTACTCACCCTTCTCGGCCCTTACTATATTTACACTTAATTCACAATATCACACAATGTGGCGTCATCCAATGGCCTGCATTTAATTGCTTAAATGGCTCAACTGAACTTTTTTACCTTAGCACTTCGCTATACAATCACATAATAATACCGCTATACAATCACATAATAATACATTTTGGCACTCGACACAATACAGTTTAACATTAAGCATTCTCCAAGGGCATGTATTTAATTGTTCAACTTAACGTCAAAAACTTTTTTATTCTTCCATTACAGAAAATGATAAATACAGGCCAATTACACAACAAATTTTATAGGAGATTTACTCACAATTGAATACTGAATTTTTTATCATTGAAAATTGCAAAGGAAATTCAATTGGACACTTGTTTCTCCCAATTAAAAGCATCCACGTCAACTATTACTACATAATACAACATGTTACAAAAATTGGAAATCTCAATGTTTTTCATAACTTAGCTGAACTATTAACAACATATTATTCTTTATTTTTAAGTTACACAATAGTAAACATCTATACTTAATTCAAAAAATATATGTACAATTTGGCATCCTCCATTGGACTGCTCTTAATTGCTGAAATGGCTCAACTGAACTTTTATAATTTAGCACTTAGCTTTAAACTTACCTGATAATACATTCTGACACTGAATGTGATATAGATTAAAATTAAGCATCCTCTGAGGGCACAATTGCTCAAGTTCATGTCAATAATTTGTTCACTTTTTTAAATTACATACATAATAATCCATGCAGGGATACATATGATGTAACATATTTAAAAGAGTTAAATTGCATTTTAGCACTCATTTTCTTAATGAGGAACTGATTACCAGTTTATTTCCTTCATTTTCCAAAAAGGCCAAGACCGTTTTTGGCCAGTGAGCTGTGTGCAAGATCCTTGGCTGAGAACGAGGGTACATTTGGAATTTATTTATGCATAAGGCTTAAACATAAATTCTTGTTTGCACAAAGTTAATGGTAAAGGGCAATTAAGAGATTCTGGACTTACAAGCACATGACTATTTGTTTTTTTTACACGATATGAATGATAATGATGTACAAATTGAAATCAAAAACTTGCATTCAAAGCATAAAAGCGTAGTCCAACAGCAGCTTTGTTCACAACATGTCATCAGATCAACGCATTTGCAATTACAAGATAAATGTATCAAAAAGATACCTATAAGAGTACCTAATGAGAGTTGTAGAGAGATCACCTATAAGAGTATTATAGAAATATTTTAGGAAGGGATAAATAAGAGAAATGAAAAGTTTAATGGTGAAGACTGGAGTTTCACCATTGCTCGCCAAAACAGCAGACGGTGAGAGGAGGAGGTAGGACTTCAGGAGACACGCAAAATTCTCGGTGTTCTTAAATGGACCTGGTGCGGCACAAGCGGTTCTGCGATGGTGAGAGAGCCGGTAGGCACTTTACCAGCACGGAGTCAAATACAGTTGGCTCATAGTGGGTGAATTTCGATGTTTTCATAAAAAAAATTGTATGATACTTCTTTCATTCCCATCAAAGGAAACGTTTCCTCTTCCGAACAACTTGCTGAAATCGCGCTCATGAGAAAATATCGAATTCAGTGTTTGGTATCGTCTTTGATGCAAAATGCAACGATACAAACACTGGAGTTCAGTCGAGAGGCAGGACGTTGAGAAATCGATCGTCAAACTTTTACTACTTTGATTATATTCCCTTTAAATTGGACCATTTAGGTTCGATTAAAATGCTCTGGCAAAGCTTCGCCCCCTTTCGTCCTCGTCCGAAAGACCCAATTGTACACGGTATTGAAATTTTGCGCCAGTTCTCTCTACTTCATTGCCGAAGTGCGCGCAGTTCTTCGAAGCCGAATCAATACGCATTGGACTAGATTTTGGGAAAAGGAACAAAGTTCATGTTTTTCATTCTTTGTTTCATTAACAAAGTTTATCTGTTCAGTAATTATAACTGCGGTAATTAAAATTATAATTATGTTAATTTCATATGAATTCAGTTGGGAAATGGTTCGAATTATCCCGATAAAAGAATAGTTTGAGTTTGATTATCATCTTATTATTAAAATAGTTACCACATTAAATGCTGCGCATGTATGTAGTATACCTGGCTCACCCGTGGAAACACCTTTCTGCATAAAAAAACGAACGGAATTACTCGATTACCCTGAACAATGGCTCTGTTTATAGATGTAATTTTGCCTTTCAAACTAAGGAATACTATTTGTAGGGAATCATCAGAAACTTGCGTTTGTAGATACGGTGATCTAACTTGAGGAACGACTATATTTTTAATGTTGGGTGTTATTGAAACTTCCTGGACTCTGAAACAAAGAGTTTTTTGATTGATTATATGACACATTTTAAAGAAGAAGATTCGTCACTAACATACATGCATACGAAATTAAATTTGTGTGAATTTTATTGTTTATTTATATTTTGGATTTTATTTTACTGCGACTACGGGTGTTGCTCTGCTTCTATAGGGACTCTGTATTTCATTTGAACATCCTCCAATACATCTGTGGATGGGTCTCTCTATTGAACACTGGTTTGCGATAAATTTGCTTTCCGCAGATATCAGTGTATAATGGGAACAGAACGACTCGTGTGTCGGCATCCATGGGGATGCTGATCAACATCTCTGTGGTCGCGAAAACAGTTCGATTGACAGATGGCGCTCGCGGCCACGAACATAGGTGGAAGGGGCCCGCCTAATATCCTGCCTTTATAGATCAATTATTCGCGCCGATCACGACTCCACCTATTGACTCTAAAATGAGGTTCAGTGGTCAAAATCTGTTTAGCGGTCCATTAAAATGCAGTGGCAAGGCGTGAATGATCGACTATCGATATCTTTCCATTTGAAGCCGTCGTAAAGAATCGATTATTCAGGTGATCGTTGCGAACACCCTGTTTATCGATCCTTTTCCATAGGTTTAAATGGCAGATAAATCGATACATCGCGAAGCACGCTACGCTCCTGTTACAATTTTCTTTATTCTCGCAACAACTCGACAGTGGTTTAGTTCAACGGTAATCTGTTGTAAGCACTCGATTGAAATCTCGATCGAAAAGCTATCTTAAAATAGTGTAGTTTACACGAAAGTCAAATTTACGGTGAAAATCGAACATGGCAAACGCTCTGTTGTTTCAGTTGGCAACTATGGACGTAAGAAGTGCATTTGGAAACCGAGGCAGGGTCGTTAAACGTGAAAATGACCACCGAACGCTGGTTTCGTGCGGTGTATTCGCAATATTTTTGCGGGTTCACCGGTATCCGACGCGATGTACCGGGGTTTATGAACATGGATGAAGCTGCTCTGCTCCCTCAAAATGCCACGCATCATCATGTTTTATTTCGTTTGAGTCTATTTCCAGTATTCTGAAGCAGTTTGCAGATTTCCCTAGTTCAGCTTTGCCAAAAGTACCCTTTGAAATTAGTATTTCATGGAATTATAGTTTATACACACCGGAATGAGAAGAACGAACGTTTATTGTACTCGCATTTTATGAACTACTGGTTAACGAAGGGTGTAGGAAATCCTATGTTACAAGGTGGTCAAATTGTGCTGGGTCCATACTATTTAGTGGGGGAAACAAGGTCAAAAAGTTCTAAAATTTCAATCAGAGTTTATCCGAATTTCCGGAAGTCAACTAGATTTCGGAAATTCATTATTTACCTGATTAATCTTATTTTGAGGCCGACGGTGATAAAGTTTCCATTCATAGACACGCACGAGAACATTGCCGATTGGTCCAATCAGAAGTTATAGGTAATTTGGCCCCGTGGACTATATTCTGATGAACTGAAGCTGTCTCATACCTACTCATTCGGCTTGTTCCTAATATATTAGCACACAAAGTGCCGTAGTAAGTAAATTTAAATATGTAGTAGTTCTTACGTCATGATTGTCGGCCCGGAGGTCACTGAATCAAACTTTATTGTAGCCTTTTTATTGAGCTCGATGATATCACATTTTTCCAAGAAAAACCTCAAAACTTCGTGGAATGGCACGCGAACAGCCGTATGCATATTTATCTACAAATTATTATGCTTTTTATCTTCCGTGTGGAATGAAAATTAACCCACGATTGACTCTATAGTCGTCGTTATCTTCCTGACCGACGCGACGCACGGCACAGTGTTCTGGAAGCAGAAACGCCTTCAAATCATAGGGTATACTGCCCAATATCCGGGGAGTTAATATAGTTGTATCACAAGGTTTGATTTCGGCGCTCCTCAAACCTCGCCCAAGCGTTCCGCTTTCTGATCCCCTCATCTCTTTGAGTGCGTGATTATTTTTTATCTGTGACTCTCTATCGAGTTTTCATTGGAATCAAGGATCATTTATATCACTTCCATCACAGTACCAATGTAGCGGAAGTATTCATTCACTCAATTCTACGAGCAAGATCTGTGGGCGAAAATAAGAAAAATATTTAATCAAAGGTAATGATGGCAGCTGGTCGTTATGAGAAACTTT